ACTAATTTTCAACAGAAATGGTTTCCATGGTATTTGGGTTTTGGTTTGGGTTTTTTTGTTTATGGGGTTTGGGGATTTTTTTAGGTCTGTACAGTAACTCTTTAGAACTATTATGATAATCAATAGACATATGATAATAAATAGACATTTCAGAAATAAACTTTTAATGCAAATATCAGAAGTGATGGGCTTAGCCTGGAAACTTATTAGGCCACACAAGTAACCTTTCTCACAAGGGTAATCAGTGGGACTACTCATGCAAACCAAGTTATTCACATGGTAAATATCTACAGAATCAGACTCCAAATTAGCATTTTAGGGGCATACTGCTACCTCAATGGATTATTCACAAATACAGGAAGAAAAATGCGGGTAGTTTTCAAATGACTGCTATAAACTCTTCCTATTTTGATAGCTTTAGGACGTTTAAGCATAGTCTTAGCATAACAGCTGTCATGTCAACTCAACTAGAAAAATTACTAGGAAAAATTATAACAACATACCTATCAGGAAAAAAAATTCTTAAATTAAAAGGTAACTGCACTGATGGGTAAACAAGTGAGTAGTATACTTATCTCAAAACCTGACTACACTGTATTCCTGGAGTACAAAGGATTGTAAGGAAATTTTAGACTTAAGTAGCTTATAATGGAACTGGTTCAACAGTCTACAGCAGCTGTCTTCAAATATTATACGTCCCTTCAGATGACAATAGCTTGTAAAAACACCGAGATACTTCACTGGGAACACTTGCAGCAATACCACAGAAGGTGCTGGTCTCAGGTATAACAACTTTTGAACATAATTTTTAAAGTTGTGTCTAATAACTGTTAGTTTTCAGAAAGTTGAGATTTTCAGTTTATTTTCCTCGTGTTTTCTTAAGAGGCTATTTCAAACCATTATAAACATCACACTCAAGGTGACAGCTTTATAAAGAAAAAAGAAACAAGCTTTCAATTTCACATTCTCATAAGGAATCATTTCAAAAGGTTTTGTCTCCCATAATAAGCAGTGGTTTCCAGAATTCTAAAATGTTGAGCAAATTCTCCATACCTTGACTTTTTACGGCATTTGTTATGAAACATACAGAAACCCTCCAGTGATACATGAATGTTGTCTACGTAAGAGAGGTTCAGAAAATATAACAGGCCAAATCCTAATCCTTTCTTTATGGGACCTGCCATGCACTGAAGGGCCATATACTCTTTAAAGGCCTATCCATAGAACCATGGGGTCATCATGCAGGTTACTAGTCAATATAGAAAGCACTGCAGATGCTAAATGCAGGACAGACACGATCATAATTAATCCAAGAATTTTTGACACTGTTTCAGGATGTACACAAAGGCTGATTGAAAAAATAGGCTGTATGTACTGAAATTCCGAGAATGTTGTTTCAGCATACAGAGCACTTATACAACACAGACCACGTGACTCAGCTATTCCAGATACAGGCTGTGAAGAAAGCTATATTCATGGCAGGCTTCCTAGCTCAGGCAGTGTTGCACCAAATTGGTTTGGACTGGAGCTAGTACCCTTTAAAATCTGAGCCTTCACACAAGATTATACCCAAGTGAACACTGAAATATATACTGAAGTATATAAGTACATAAGACTTTCCAGAGAAGTATCCAACTTAAAGTCCTATAGCAAAATCACCTTCAGCTTCACCAGTGTCTGTCCAGCAACTGAACTTTCCACAAACCCAAAACTTATCTGCTTAAGTTGCTACTTTTAATCGTGTTTATGCTCCCAGTTCTTATGTAGCAAGCACTACTACACAATCATTTATTGCTAACTGAATATTTTTACTTTAAAATTGCAGCAAGGCTGTTGTAGCAACAGCCACTTGTTACAGCAGTATTTATTGTGGTTTTGGTTTCCACTGCACTTCTACAATTACACTGGTGTGACATAAATACCAGTTATGCGGCATATTACATCTAAATAGCTTTATGTCCTATTACATATACCGAGTATAGTAGAGATTTGTTGTTCCTTTACTAAGCTATAGGAAAAACATTATTGTCTACTTGAGATATACAGATATTTCATCAAATAATGTCTTTAAGTTGCCTGTTGAAGAGAAGGTTGAGAGTTTCTTGAGATTAATTTTGCAAAATGCCACAGGTCTTCACTTGCCTTAAAATGGGTTGAGGACACACACAGTTTTGAATTATCAGATCTACAAATGAGTATTCATGATAACTGATCCAACCAAACAGTTCCTTGGAAATCAGAGTAAATGATCTAAAAAGAAATTATTTTGTAATGGGAATTCCAGTTCAGAAACAAAAAAAACTAAAAGCACCACTTACCTAAAGAGATGAATTATTTTTTCCCCCAAAGGGAAACTACTGTGAAAGTCTGTTCTTCATATTAGAGTACTGAACTACAGAAAGCATGTTTTAAAACTGAGCCTGTACACACTAGCATAAGATAATCCATCATAAGAAATATTACATGTAAACAATCTTGTAAACTAAATCAAGTTCATTTAAACTGCAGTAAGGTGCACTTACACCTTCCACTGGCATGTTAAGAGGACTGCATCAGGTATTTCACAGTTGTTTGGCACATTGCATTTACAGCAGAAATGTGACATCTACACTTAAACATTTTAAAAAACTGAAAAGCTTTAAGTGCTCGCTGTTTAATGTATAAAAGAAAACACTTGAGGGAAGTATCCACAAGTTTCCCAAGAAATCATTTCTAATTCAGAATCCCAAGGAGATGAATTGGCTGTCAGATAACAATGTGCCCTCATCAGATGGACTTGGCAGTTGTAAACAGGAGGAATTTTCTCAGCTTTTCCTCACAAATATGAAATATTTGTTCTCTGCCAACAGCTGGGGCAGTTTAAAGACACCCTGCATATATATTCAAATTACAAGTCACCCACACACCTAACAATGACTGAATTTCAGCAACTTAAAGAAACTCTAACAATAACTGGAACAGATGCAAAATAATTCCAAAGACAAAACAATCTAACTTTGTCAATCTAAACGACTAAAAACTTTCAAATGTCATAGCTTGCCTGCTGAAGAGTGAACAAAAATAACTCACAAAAGTAGACACAATTATCAGAATTTCTCTTCAGAACTAGTGTCTATGTAACTGGAAAATATCTGTTGTTTTCCAAAGACTTTAATTATTTTTCTCTTGATAAATTCATAAATAGAAAACAATGGAAAATGTGAGCATAGACAAGTTTCAACTACCAGCGCTCTTTTGTTCTGTAGTATTGCAATTCCGTACTTCAGAAATCTTGTATTAAATGCCTTGAAATTATGACAACTTATTAACGATATTTCAAAAAATTATTTTAAATCACATAGCAGGATCTTGCTTCTAGATAACCAAGAAATAAAGTTGACTACATACTGGTTTAAAACTTGGCAAGTATTGGGTATCTCGGTGTCAAGCCACATTCACAATGAAGGCAAGGATCTTTTAAAATTTATTAATGTTTCATATATGTGTACTTCTGCAATATGATCTACACTACTGGTTAATTTTTTAGCTATAAACCTAATTTAGGGATGTGTGTATATTATTCCAATACATCTCTCAGCAGGAGAAGATATACTAAAACTCTGTTCTTTGTATAAAATCTAAAACACATTGTAAAAAAGCATTGCATTAAGTACTTTAATACAACTTTGAAAAAATCTGACTACGCATTTCTAAGAGCCATCGATTTCATTAAAATTTATTCAAAAAAGATTGCACTATATAACAACACCTTCAATTTTTAGGTCAAAAAGTTACTGTGGTTTCTTTGAAAATACGAGGTAATTAACTCAAGTACATGATATATCAACTACTTTAGAAATACCATAATTACACTGGTGGTTATTAAGTCTCTTGAATAGCTTTGTCTATATGAGCAAACCATAATGGTTTGTGGGGGTTTCTTTTAAACACACAGCAGCTGTGGATACAGAGCACAGCTATAAAGACAAACAGAATGTCTAAGCCAATGCTGCTTTTAAATAAAGTAGAAATACTTTTATGAAGTTAAAGCAACAGCTAATGAAAAGCTAAACAAGATCTCAGATGCATGCTTAAAGAAAAGTTGATATAATGAAATGGAAGCAACTAAGGTGTCTAATGATGAAGACATTACTTTAAAGTTCTACACAAACATACATGAATACAGGGCATTCTTTGACTTTACTAGATCGAGAATGAAACTATATCCAACAAACAGCATTTTGCCTTTAATAAGTCAGATGTCCCAAGTCATACAATACATTTTTAAAAGCATTTTCATTTTAGGAAATGCAACAAACTAAGACACATACTGAAAATTAAGCAGCTATTATAAAAAGCTAAAACCTTTTGGGAGTTACTCATTTTCTCCATCCAAACATGCAGGTGTTCGCACTTCAACTTCACCAGACAGGATCCTTTCATTGCCACTCCATTCTCTCTCCCCATAGAACTCAATCATTTTTTTTTCCTTTTTAAGTCCAAACCCAATTAATTTTTGGGAACTAGCACTTTTCATATTTCTAAGCCTTTGTAAATGTTGCAATCATATAAAAACTGAAGCAGAATTAAAATACTGCTTTCCCACTATGTAACAAGACAACACTTGATAACTAGCAGTTACTTCCAATAAGACGTATAAAACATCAAATATCTCCAAGACTAGCAATTAACAGTGTACTTCAGATAACAGGCATTTTTTTAGTTGTATTCATGTTTGAAAAAGTCCTTGTTTATTCAAGGGAAGAGATTTCATAGTACCCAAGCTATTTCCTACAAGGTAATTGTAGTTTACATTTGAAATCTGGACTGCTCATGAAAGCTCCCCCCTGGCCAAGTCCCATACATACTGCTTGAGAATTTCTTTTCTTATGTCTCAATTAGGATAGATATTCCAAGTTGGGTTGTTTTTTTAGAAAAAAAAAATCAGAGGCCTGAGTACACACAAATGATTTGATTAAAAACAAAAAAAATCTCTTGTGTTTAGAATTCAAAATACTTACAGCCTCTCCAGTTCTTTTAAATCCTGGAATGCTCCTCTCTCAATAGTACTAATCTTGTTCTCCATAAGCTGACTGAAATACAGAATTTTTTATACATAAGTTCTAAAAGATCCAAGACAACTTGTTGCATTAACAATAGTCATTTAAAGACAACCGCATATTCATTAAAACAGCACAACAGTTATTAGAGTGACACATGATTTAACCTTCCAGACCCATCATCAGCATTTTGCATGGGCTCATATATCCAAAAGGGAAAAAATAATCCTCAGTAAAAGAAATAGGAATCGATACTACATCCGCTCATTTACTTAATAATCCAAAGTTAAAAAGTCGCACATATACATGCATGCTGGGTGTGCACACAGACACACATCACTGCTCCTGGGCAAGTTACAAGACACTAGGTGAACAGCTTGAAGGCAATACTAGCCTCACATGAGGATGACAAAACAAAAATACTGAACTGTGGGGTGTGGGGAGAAGACACCAGTGAAAGACTGCACAGAGATTATAACTGTAACAGTACTTTTGTTTTGTAAATACATTAAATATTGCTAAAACATTTTCTGCTCCAGACAGAAACGGAAAAGGATTTTATACTGCTACTTGCTCAAATAAAATAGCATTAACAAATTAGCTACATAAATTATGTAGTATTTTAAAGTTTTTCTCCCCCACCCAGAAAAATTGCCCCAAAAACCAAAACCCCACAGAATCTTAAAAGATTCGTAACATTTGAAACAAAAGTGTCAACAAAAGCACCAAAAGAAATAATTCCTTCCAAGAATTCACTGTTAAAGCAGCTCCTTTTGGACCAGAAACTGTAGAAAAGCAATAATCATCATCTGCAATTTGCTTTTAAATTCAGTAGAGGAAGAACTTTTTTTCTTAATGAATTTCCTTATACTTTAGGTTGAGAGGACCCATTTTCAGTGTGAACTATGTTTTCTAACCTTAAAGTCACTCCAACAGTTATTCAACCAATTTTAGCAAAGCTACATGCCAAATTAAGTCCTTGAGTTCTCTTGTGAGCTTAATCAGAGATTATAAAAATTTTAACAAATGATATTTCAGGCAATTGCTAACTTAAACATATCAGTGTATAACCCAGGGAACGGGGGGGGGGGGCTGCATTCAGAAAGGGAGGAAGGGTGTTAAATTCAGGTGCAATAGCTAAAAAGTGTTAACCTATCCAGCTGACAAACTGAAAGATAACCAGCTCAATGGCTGTATATCAAACTGTAGCATCAGCCCTAGAAGTTTTCAGTAATAGGAAGAGAAAACTTACAGAACTCGAAGGTGCCTTAGACCAGCAAAGTCGGTCTTGGTGATTCTTGTGATGTTATTTCCATTAAGATCCCTAAGAAAAATAATTTACAAGCAGCAAAATTAAACATTCAAAAGTTACTTTTAAATTGTTTTGTTTGTTTTCATGGGCACAGCCTTTTGAGCAATTAGATGTAAATGAACCAAACCATTCCTACAACTAACAGTGTGAGATCCTCATTTTCAAGTGACTGAACAAAGGTTTATCTTGAAGGTAGTAGTTTTAAACTCTCTAATGAGGCCTTTACAAAGTCAGTTCTGCCTGCCATTATAAATCTCATATATATCTTTAACAATATAGAACAGTCAAAACCTCTCTGAACATGGTTATAACTGCACTTAGAAAACCACTAAAGCTACTATATATATATATGTGCTACAGTATTTGTTTGCCTGTTACAAAATCTAAGAGACTGAAATCAAGAAAATTTTCAGCATTCTTAAGCAACTTTTAGCTTTCATAGCATAGCTACAAAAGCACAACAGATCTTAACTTCCTATAAGCAAACACAGCTTCCAAGCAAGCATGAGACTGGAGAATAAGTGATGGGAGACATGATTTTATGAAAAGTAAACTCTTCACTTGCTGCATGGAAAGCTACACTGACTGCAGAATGCAAAGCGCATTCAGAATCGACAGAAAACTATTTAGGCCCTAGCATTTCTGTTCATACTTCAGTAATACTTTACCTTCTGGAGTATATGCCCCTTTTTCTCAAAATTTTGGGGTCAAGCTGTGTACATCGCTCAGTACCAATCACTACAAATAAAACCAGACTTCGCAATTCCAGAGGTAAGCCATTAGGAAGTGGTTCTATACATGAAAACTGCTCTAACAATTACAGCTCATTCCCGAAGTGTGTGTGTGGGGGGGGGGTATAAATAAATATCCTTTTTCATGCACCAACATTCAAATGACTTAAAGATAACTCTTTCAACTCCTCAGACACTTTTAAAAGGCAACCCGATATGATAAAAGTAACCGACCAGACGCTTGCTTACTCTCAAGAGTAGAAAAAACCCCTAGCCGAAGGGTACACGAACCGTCTCAGAAAGAGGATGGGGGGAGGTCTCACAGCTAAGGAAAAACTTGGTGCTGTCTAAGTGGGAAGAGGCTAAGCCACGCCAGCGTGCCCTCGCCGTAAGACAGATGCGGGCAAAGCCTCGCCGGGCTCCAGCTTCACTCCGGTGCAGCGGGCGTCAGCGCGCCCCGCCAGCCTTCCCACGCGGTAACCCCGCGGCCCCGGAGCTGGAGTGAGCGCTGCGCGCCGGCGAACCGCCTCAGCTCACTCAGGGGCCCGCCTACGTCCGCGGAGCGCCGCGGCCCGGCTCTTCCCCACTGCCTCAGGGGAAGAAATCCGCAATAGCGAAGTTTGCCGGGAAATGGGCGCCGGCGGGGGGAGACGCCGCTCCGCCGCTGCCGCCCCGGGCCGCCCCGCGAGCGGCCGCTGTGCCCGCCCCGCCGCTCCTGCTCCCCGCGGCGGCGGGAACGGCGCTCCTCACCGTGGCTTCTCGGAATGAAAGGCAGCAGCTGGGAGCAGAGTCCACCTCTCCCACGACTCCACGCATCGCCGTGAAATGGGGAGCGCTAACAGCAGGGGAAGGAAACGGACACGCCACACACCCCCTCCCCCAAAAGGGCGTCGGGACCCCAAACCAGGCCGGCTCCAAGGGGCCACATATGCCCCACCAGCCAGCGGGAGCCCTGACGGGAGCCAGGGAACGAGGGACTCTCGCCGCCACCCCAGCAGGGTTACTTACAGCCTCTCGGTGTTGCGGGGGATGTTCCTCGGGACCCCGCGCAGCGCCAGCCCGTGACAGTCCACGGTGCTCCCCGAGCAGGAGCACTGCGCCGGGCACGGCTGCGGCACCACCTCGCCCGCCATCGCCAGCAGCAGCCCCAGGGACAGGGTGAGCTTTCCCCAGCCGCACATCATCACCGCCCACAGCCGCCCGGCCGGGCCCGCCGGCCTCGGCCCCGGGGAGGCGCAGGGCGCGCCGCCCTCCTCCTCGCAGCGGTGAGGACTCGGGCAACTTTCAGGGTGCAGAGAAAGCGAAGTCCCTTCTATCCAAAGCCAAGCCAAGTAAAACAACCCCGGCAAAGTGAGGTGGATGGCACGGATCAGCGGCTGAAGACAACTTCGCCGGGAGGGGGGCCGGGCCCGGGCCCTCCCTCTCTAGCCCGTCGGGTGGCGGGGAGAGGCGGCACTTGGGTCTCGACTTCGCACGCTCCCAGCGGAGGCGAAGCGGCGGAGTTGGGCTAGCTCCTTATTTTCGTCCTCGCGCCTTTCAAAGCCGTGACTCTCCTCTGAGCTCCCGGCTAAAGGCCGCGGAGCGCCGTTCGCCCGAGTGGCGTGGTTCCTGCGCTGCCCGCGCAGCGCAGCAGTCGCTCCCACGCGCGTCCCCCGTCGCGGGCCGCTCACAGCCCCACGGGGGGCGGCGGCGGGACTGACACCGCGCACACACCGTCCTGTCAGAGGCGCCTCAGCAAATCATACCCCTCTCGCAGGCATTCATCAAACTGTCTCACGAAGAAGGAGGGAGGGGAAAAAAAAAAAGTCAAACACACGAGATGATGTTGGGCTTGGCTTTCCACCCCCCGCGCCCCCTCCTGCTGTAAGCTCCCAAGCCAAGTTTAGCAGGAAAGGGCTGGTCCTAGAGCACGATGATAATAAGCAGTCGAGAAGTGATTCGTTGCCCTGCTGGAAGGGAGTTCATCCACGACCCCTTTCTCCTCACTGACAGATCACAGTTATAGATCCTCCTGTGATCCCGGGAGCACGGCGAAACAGGCCGAAGAACAGATGATGTGCGGCGAGAGTGCGGGGAGTGAAGGGGGCGTTATTCTGCTCCCCGTGGTCTCCCGGATACCGTGGCTTTGCTGCAGCAAAGGCACCTGATCGGAAAGGTAAGAACTGCTCAGTCCTTCCAGGTGAGGCCAGTTCAGCAGCTCCTAAGCTTGCTGCAGGAATGGGAGCAACTTTCCTCTTCACCCGGAGCCCGCTGGGGCACAGCGCCTCGGGAAAGGTTTGCGCCCCTTCCCCTGATCCCACCGGTGCACCTGAGCTGCCGGTGCTGGTGCTCGGCTCCCTGGAGGCGGTGCTCTTCAGGCGCAGAGGGAAACGGCAGAGAGGGCGCGGGGATGCGGGAGAACGGAGGCGACACGCCAGCTCCTTCCCTCGCACCCCAAGTCTCTCCGAATGAACAATAGAATGGCACCGCCGTACGCAGACCGGCTCTCCTCCCCGCTGCAAGGTGCCTGCTGCCGCCCGCGGGAAGGGCTCCCCGAGCGCGGTCTCCCGCGGAACCGCCCCCGGCACCCAGCCGAGCGCTCCCTGCTGCCCGACCAGGCGCTGCTCCCCCGGTCCCGCTCCCACGGAGCCAGGAGCGCCCCACGCGCCGCCCTATATAGGGCCGGCGGGGCCGCGCCTCCCCGGCCCCGCCCGCAGCGCCCCGCGCCGCTCTCACTGGCTGCGCCGCCGCCCGCCCCGGCCGGCCCGGCCCGGCCACCGCGGGGGGCGGGGGGCGGGGGGCTGATCCGCGGCGCCAACAATGAATGAAAGTTGGGGGAGCGGCGGGGAGGCAGGTCCGTGTGTGTGCCCCCACCCCGGGAGTTGTTGCGCGGACTTTCCCACGCAGCCCTGGCCTGCGGGTGTCAAGCACCCGGGAAGGAGAACGGAGAGGAGGGGCCGCAGCGGTGGTTGTGTGGGTTTTGCCGGGGGGTTTGAAAGGGGACGCTGAAACGTCGCCTGCTGCACTTGTAAATACCTCTGGCGTCTCACCGAGGGTCTGGTCTGGTTTGTGCCGCAGCCGCTACAGAGGGAGAAAGACGGTTTTCTTGGCGGTTTTTTTTTTTCGGCTGCAGTCTTAGTGTGAAACACACCAGAATCTTTAACAAATTATTTTTGAAAATAAGACGTACAAGTGTTCTTCCGTACGTTACGGTACGTAAAGTAGCAACACTGCTGTGCTCGTTTAGAAAACATCTTCCATTTACCAAAAGAAATTGTATTCTAAATACAACGTTCCTGATAAAATTTCCCAAACTGTTGTTTACTGTCAGTGCGTCTTTAACATTTTTTGGAAAATACTGAGTGTGTGAGCCTCTTAACTAAATTTTATCTGGGTTTCATTTTCCTTCCTTATGCATTTGGTTCCGTGCAATTTATAATCTTGAGACCCCAGTGATAGGTGAAAGTGATTCGTCTTTCATATATGGCAACCCCCAGCAGGGATGACTAAGCCTTCAGCAAGGTGTAGTTTGGAAGTGCTTATGGGAGTCCATAGTTTTTCCATATGGCTGGGTCCAACTGAGTCTCTTCATCCCTGGGGTCTCTGCTGCACAATCCCCACAAGAGGCTTACTGACTCTTTTTGCTTGTTACCAAGAGGACAAATACTGTTTTCAGAAATGCTATTCTAGATCCAAGCTAATCTGCTGAAGTGGAAGCCAGCAAAGTTACACCTGACTTCTCTTACCCTAGAATGTGAGCCAAACTGAAAATTGCTAAAAATGTATATATCTACAGAAAACTTATTTTTCGATGCATGTGTTGGAAAACATCCAGTAAACATGATTGTTGCACTGTTTTCAGATGCTGGTAATGGCATCTTTGGTCTTGCAAAGACTCAGATATATTCCAGTTTTTTAGACTGATTGCAGAAAGAATTCACTGACTGTAAGGGAAATACATGAGCTTCCTTGTATAAATGCCTTTCACTCTTTTCTCCTGTGTTACTGGTTTAGGTCTTTACAAAGCATTTCAAAAGGATTTTGCAAGTTTCTAGCAAGCAACATGATAGAAAAAGGAAAAAAAAAAGAACTTAATCTAACATACTGCTTTCATGCCTCTACTGACATTCTTTATCTTATAGCTTCAGGCAGACAAACCTAGAAAATACAAATGTTAACCATTCAGTATATTTTGATATTTGTTTGAAGTAGCAGCAATATGCCTAGTGCTGCAGAAGACAAAGAGAAGAAATAATGAATTTTCTTAATATAGTAATTCTCAGGAAATCTGAATCAATTCTGAAAGTGTTAAATGTTGCTAAACTGCTCTGTGCAGATCTGATTCAAAATCCAACCCGGCGTTAATTTTGTGTACTTTGTTTTCAAAGGGAAGTATAGTAAGTACAAGCAAGATCAATTTTTATTTCTGTTTGGGGGGTTCATTGATTTTTAACATGCCCACCTTTGAATCATACCTTTCATTCATTCAAATTGATTTTCCTGAGTTTCTTGCCTGCCAGCACATTGAAACTCTCTTTTTGTGATTTAAACTTTTCAATGGGAGAGCTCCCAATGCCTGAAATTGTCTGAACGAGGCCTTCTGTCAGATACGGTGTAGTATCATTGCTGAGTGTGAACCTTGCCCTGCAGAGTGCCCCGTGGCTGCCTCAGTTGCCTGCAGAAGTGATTCTAAGCCACTTCCAAAGTTATGAGGGAAAATATTCCCATAGAGGAAGAAGCTGGGGGAAACTATAGCAAGAAGATGTTGAAAAAAGGAATTAGAAACATTCATCAGTGGAAAAACAAAAGTTTTGTTACAGCTGTTTCAGAAGATACTGACAAGAGGTAGAAGTTTACTGTTCTCCAGATTTCATTGCACAACATTCCACCCTTTGGAGGGAAATCTAAAAGGATGCTCAAAAAGCTACGATCAGAACTGTTATAAGGAGATCAAAGTCAATAATAATCCAGAACATCAAAACAGAAAAACCTACTACTTACAGCTGAGGTTGGTAACAGTGACTATGGCTGACTACAAAGCTCAAAGCTATGTCAATGTATCAGCATCACTATAGATTTATAAGGACATATGCTTGAAAGATGCTGAATGAAATGACTCATCAATTTGTAAACAACTGAAGGTCAATAAGGTGATACAAAAATGTCCAATAGAGGTATATCAAGAAAAAACAGTACAAACTAATCTAGTTTGTTTCTTTGACAAGGTAACTAGCTTCTGTGTAAGGGGAAAGTATGGTAGATGCTGATATTAGCAGATTATTTGCTACCATGCGCATTTAAACTCTGATAAGCAATCTACTTGAACGTAGTCAGAATCTAATCTCTGGAATGTGGATACTTTATTAATTAAAAACCCTCAAACCTTATATTCAGAATATGATGTATAGGCAGTCAGGGAGTGACTAGACTCTTTTAAAAAGCTGTTAAGACTATTATGCCACTGAATGATTCCATTAGTGATTGAAAATTAAGTATAACTATTAACAGATGATACCAGAATGGAAAGGGATGTATGGAGTTTGCAAGGCAGAACAACAACTGAAAATTATTTTGATAAACCAGAGAAAACACATGGAATTAGAGAAAGAAAAGACGTTATAATACTTCCCCAAATTAAAACGTTTTTGCAAGCAGCACAGTAGTCAGTTAATATTCACAACCAGTAAAGGGCTTTGTTTTGGGGAAGGAAGGTTTATGAATCAGAAAAGCTGGTAGTAATAAAGGGTGTGAAACACAAAAAACAATGTTGGTCTTTGTTTCATCTCTTCTCCTGCACCCCCAAGCCAACTTTTTACTGGAAATTTTAAAACAGATTATATACTAGATAGGATCTATCAAAATGTACTACATACAGTGTCTCAGTATGGTTAGTTATTAGCTAACTGGCCTTTCAGGTTCTTTTTAACTATGATCTTCCATGAGCATGAAATAGGTATGTAGCAGTAATACTCATTGTCAAAGAGGACATCTGGCTGTTTATTAGTTGCTTATGATTTATTATCGTAACTACCATTATCAATGGGCTGTGCCCAATGGTATGAGGTTCAACAAGGCTGGGTCCTGCATTTGAGTAACAAAAACCCCACGCAGTGCTACAGGCTTGGGGCACAGTGGCTGGAAAGCTGCTTGGAGGGAAAGGACCTGGATGTGCCAATTGACAGAAGTGAACATGAGGCAGCTTGTGCCCAGGCAGCCAAGAAGACCACCACCATCCTGGGCTCTATTAGAAATAGTGTAGCCAGCAGGGCCAGGGCAGTGCTCATACTCTGTACTCAGCAGTGGTAAGGCTGCACCTTGAATCCTGTGTTCAGTCCTGGGCCCCTTACTACAAGACAGACATTGAGGTATCAGAGAATGTCCAGAGAAGGGCAACAAAGCTGGTGAAGGGTCTGGAGCACAAGGTTGATGAGGAGTGGCTGAGGGAACTGAGTTTTGTGCCATGATCACTGCAAAGAAATCATAAGGACAACATGGGCAACAAGCTGACATCACATGTATGATAAAAGAGTGATGGGGAAATAAAAGCCAATAATGAAGGAAAGAAAAAGGATGCTGAAGAAAAGTAGAGAGTGAGAACAAAAAGCATGAACATAAGAATGTGGAAACCATATACTGAATTGCTGAAAAAGTGTACAAAGTGAAAAGAAAAAAAGACTTTTCTCTAAGAATCTATCAAAACATAGACTCAAAGGGATAAGTGAAACCCACTGAAACTGTTTTTAAATATTATTTGAATAGTATTCTGCTTTTAATCCTTCTGAACATTTACTGCTTGTGACAGTCTCACTGGATGAATCTGAGCCTGTATTTTCTGAGCTTTAACTGTTGTGGTATTGCACAGTGGACTACAGCCCAAAGAGCAACTTGGAATTGTATGCCCACACAATATTTTAGCTCAAAGAACATTTTATTAGTTAATAGCTATCTTCTCTAGTTGTTAGCTAGCCAAGTTTAGAACAGGTCTGAAATGCCTCCAAATTAAGTAAAAGATTAAAGCAAACTAGCTGGCAGGAGTGGGTACAGGTCCTGTGTTTTTACAACTTCTCCAAGGGAGCTAGGGATCAAACTTCTTGACTTCTTTGAAACAACACCCATAATAAACATTACAACTGGTAGTAAATATTTCAGAAATGTATCCTTAATCTAAAGCTGAGTGACCTGAGGTTTACCCAATATCAAAGGGACACTATCAAAGTTTTAGGGTCATGAGTTTCACACATATAAAACCCCTAGGCTCCCGCAGAGCCATCTAGAGTCTCACAATGCTTTACCATGAAGTTTGACTGGAAATTCATTTGAAAAATATTCTGGGGTTTAGGAGCC